ATTCTTCTGGATAAACTTGCTCAATACGGGGTTAATGAAAACGCATTAACATGGTTCCACTCTTATCTAACCGATCGTACACAAAGATGTTGTGTAAATGGACATCTATCTAGTAATCGACCAATCACTTACGGTGTCCCCCAAGGTTCAATAATAGGTCCCCTTTTATTCTTGGTCTATATCAATGACTTGCCAAACTGCCTTAACAATGGCTTATCGAGTATGTACGCGGATGACACAAATATTAGCTTTCAAAGCTCTAATCTTTCTGATCTTGAAGAAATTATGAACACCGAGCTGAGTAGTTTAAACACCTGGCTCAATGCGAACAGATTAAGCTTAAATATTACTAAAACTGAATTCATGGTCATTGGCTCTCGACAGAGGCTGATGTACCATGATGTTAACAATCTTAATATATGCGTAGATAACACTCAAATTAAAAGAGTACAGTACACGAAATCCTTAGGTGTAACAATTGATGAAAATTTAACTTGGAAGAACCATATTGATACTATCTGTAAAAAAGTATCCTCAGGAATTAGTGCCCTCAAACGAGTGAGGCGATTTGTAAACAGGGAAATTGCAGTGAAAGCGTACAAAGGCTTAATTGAGCCTTACCTTAATTACTGCTGCCCGGTTTGGGACGGTATTGGCAGCGAGCTGAGCAGTAAGTTACAAAAGTTACAAAACCGTGCTGCTCGCATGATCACCGAAAGCACATATGAAAACTCCTCGAATTCTTTACTGCAGGAGTTAAACTGGCACCAGTTATCTCTTAATCGCAAAAAGCATAAAGCAATTTTTATGTATAAAACTATAAACAAGAGGGTACCAGAATATCTACAAGACATATTTATTTCGCGGTCTTGTCCTTACAGATTGAGAAACAATGAAAATACATTATTTGTCCCTAAGCCACATACAGATTATCTAAAGCGCTCACTCAGCTACGATGGAGCTGTTTTATGGAATAGTTTACCAACTGAACTTCGTTCGGCGCAATCTCTTAGCGCTTTTAAACGAGGTCTAGAATGTTGGCTAGCTTAGATTCACACACGGCAATCATGTAAATCAGTACTGTTCTGTCTTTTGTAAATAGCATTTGTATTTTTTTTCCCTTTTCCTCCTTTTTCTATACTTTATATATATCTATATTATGTAAATTTTTACTGATGATTCTACCGTGTCAAAATAAAGTTTATAATAATAATATAATAATAATAATAATAATGCTTAGGTTGGTAGATAGAGGAAAATGTGGAAGAAGAAAAAAACGGATACTCGTTCGACATGGTGAAGGTTTCCTTGGACTGTTACTAAGTCCTATTTTGGAATGCCTGGCTGAACTTGTATAAAAGCCCTGTGACTACAATTTATACATTATTTCAACAATGAACATCGAGAGTAAAACATCTCCGCGACATTGGCGCATTGAAGATATACTTTTGTATCTGAACAATAATGTAAAAAAAACTACAGCAGAAAAAATACTACATTCTATTCTTATATCAAGTGATATTTGAACTTGGAATCCTCAGGGTGAGATTGTTTGTCATGGAAGAGACATTTCTGGTACTAACATGGAGAACTTATTACAATACGCACTTTTACCATACAACTCTCACATTCCTGAACCACGAGGGCTCGACCTGTTTACAAAAGGTCTAGTAGAAGCAGGGGTTAATAAATATTTAATTAAAAACGAGTATTTATTGTCAAAAATGGCAAAGGAGGAACATGAAATGCCACAATCTGAGAGTGATGTTGAAAGCGAATGTGGTGAAGAAAACAGGGAATCTGACAAGACTGATAATGAAAGCGAATATGATGATAATGAGGATGATAATAATGAGGATGATGGTGAGCCCGAGAAACTAGCTTGTAACCATTGTGGAGAAGAAACTGGTCACATTGTATACTTAATGAAGTGCCCAAGATGTTCGTGGAAAGATTTCTACTGGGGCAAAGACGCTCAATGTATGATATGTGATGAACAGTCACCTCTACTGTTTTCGCATGTCATTGCTTTCTGCGAGCTATGTTCGTATGGTACGTCTAACAGCAAGGCGAGCGGATTGGAGTTCACACCAAAAATGGACAAATAAAAGACCCAGCAGATTGGACCGAACGTGACGTAGCGCGAATGACTCCGGAAGCAAGAGAGGATTATGAACGTTTTATATTGAGCGATAGACCGAAATATATTCCAATGAAGCCGGAAAAACTTGCAAAGTTATCCCCAGAAGATAGACAAGAATATGAGAACTCTTTAAAAATAACAAAAACACCTAGACGTTACGCTCTTAGAAGTTGACCTTACTAAATTTTGTAAAACATTTTGAAGAAGTAAATGTGGTTAAAAACTGAAGTATTGTGTAATTTTTTCCGGCAAAGCCCGCTCTTTCCGCCCGCGCGAAAAGATCCGTGTACAAATTTGTTGTACTTTAATATATGCATGTACCCGCAAAGCCACGCGCCTGATTTTAAGGTATACACCTGCGTTTAAAAATAATCCCTATCTATCCATCGGGATACACTTAGTTATGCAAATTCGTATTACCTTAATCCCCTTAAATACCTACACGCCTCCTAATGACTTAGCAACGCATAACAACACAACATTTGCAAAGTTTAAAACATGTTTATTGATACAAATAACAGACGATAGTGTCAAAAAATATTACAACTGTTTTAATTCTAACTTCTACTCTTGATAAGCTTTCTTATGATCATCTTAACAGTATATATGTATGTAGGAGGATTGCTAAATAATCTTGAACAACATGCAAATATTGACCATAACAACGACGTTGACAACTCGGGATTAGGAACTGTTTAGTTTAAAATATGTCTTGATTTTTGTGACGAATAGATTCCTCGCTATGGAACATACGAAAAATCCTTCAATATACCTGTGGAAATTTATCTCTTCCGAGCAAAGATACGGCTATAACTCTGCTATATATTAATAATATTGACCTTAACAACGACGTTGACAACCCGCGATTGGCAACTGTTTAGTTCTGTTTGAAATATATCTTGATTTTTGTGACGAATAGATTCCTCGCTATAATTTTGTAAACATACGAAAAATCCTTCAATATACTCGTGGAAATTTATCTATTCCTAGCAAAGATACGGCTATAACTGCTATATATTAATTTCGATAACAATTTTGCCTTGTAAGGGACTCGAGCTATTCATAGCAAGCCAATATTAAGCCCCCTATTGTATCACACACGTGGGGGAACGCTGACGAAATGCTTAGTCAGCAATTTTCACACGTTCTTGTTTAAACCTGCCCGCGTGACGTCGTTGCATATAATTATGACGTATTTAATGAGTGACGTCCGGGTCGAACGGTACCTATATTACTACTAATTTATATTATACTTTTGGGATTAATTTTCAAACCAGCAAGTAGAGATCTAAATATATTTGCTATAACCTGCAAATTCTTTCAGTGAAATTTCACCATCATTATGTGTGTCCAAAGCTTCGAGGTTTTCCTTTAAAATAGAGAAGTGTAGTAAGGTTTGAAAGAGACTTTAATATCAATACGTTCGTTTATATACACGTGGCCCCGTCATTAGTAATAGTTAATATTAATTGAATCACATTAGATCTCCATTTTCTTAAAGATATAAAACTTAATGTCAACTAAGCTATGTATTTCGCTTATCTTAATTGTAACTTTAATGTTTTAATAATTTTGAATGTCATCTACTCTAGTTCAAGATTTTCTCTTGCTTTCAAAGACAATGTTTTAATTCTGTTAGGTCTGCTATTTATATTTAATGATGGTGTTGTTTCCTCTTCGTCTTGTTTCTTATCAATGTCCTTGGGAATGTTTTGCAGCTGTACTCGGTTTTGTCTTATTACCGTTGTAGGAGTATCAACCAGATATGATCTTGGTATTTTTGATGGTCTAATTACTGTTCCGGTGCAATCCATGTCTGTGATGTAAACTGTTGCTCCTGGTGGTAGAGGTTTTAGTGGTTGAGCTTTGTGGCGATTGTCAAAGTTCTTTTTCTGCTTCGATCTATATACTTCTTCCTTTTCTATGAAGAGTTTCTGGTTTGGCAGTTGTGGTGTTAAATGTGGTAGCGTTATTGGTATTGTTGACTTTATCTTTCTTCCCATAAGGAGTTCTGCTGGAGAGTATCCGCTTGCTAATGGTGTTGATCTATATGCCAGTAGTGCTTTTGTTGGATCTTGTTCCTGTTTTAGGATGTTTTTCACTGTCTTTACTGCTCGTTCCACTTTGCCATTCGCTTGAGGATAAAGAGGGCTGCTGGTACTGTGTTGGAATCTCCACTCCTTTGCAAACTGGGCGAATTCGTCACTATGATATTGAGGCCCATTGTCGGAACGTACCTCGTCAGGAATCCCGTGCCTGGCGAAAATGGTTTTCAGGGCTTGAATGATCTTTGATGAACTTGTACTTTTAGGTAATGCCACAACTTCGACGTAGCGAGAATAATAATCTACCACCAGTAGGTAAGTAACCTTTTCTAGAATGAAAAGGTCTATTGCAATCAATTGCCATGGTCTTTGAGGGAGTGGCGTTGGCATCAATGGTTCTGGATGCTGCTGTCTGTATTTGCTGCATGTTGTACAGTTTTCGACCATGACTTTAATTTGGGCACTGAGTCCTGGCCACCAAACGGATATTTTGGCTCGTTCTCTGCATTTGCTCTGGGTTTGGCGTTGCAAGCGGGATGGAATGACCATGCAGTCTTGTTCCTTTGAGCAATAACCCGTCGGCGATGGTGAGCTCTCCTCGTACTGACCAGTAAGGTTTTGCGGCAGGAGTGACATGATCTTTTTCTGGCCATTGATCCATACAGTATTTCTTCACTTCTTTGCATACCTCGTCTTCATCTTGGGCTTGTTGGATTTCCTTCAATCTCGGATTAGATGCGGGCAAGGCATCAATTACACTTAAAACGTAAGCGTTCATTTCGTTTTCTTCTACGGTTGGTTGGACTGTGCTTTCAGGTATCTTCCTGGACAGAGTGTCGGCTGTGTAGTGTAGTTTTCCAAGGTACGTGTCGAACATCTTTGATGTGGAATCTCATTAGTCTCATCTTGTAGCGCTGTAGTCTTGGAGGTAACTTGTCGATGGTATGGTTGGTTAATAAATGTACCAGTAGTTTGTGGTCAGTTTCAATTGTTATTGGTTTTCCAATTATGTAATTGCTTGACCGTTCACATGCCCAAGTTACCGCTAGAGCTTCTTTCTCTATCTGGGCATACCTAGCCTCGGTTGTTGTCATCGATCTTGAAATGAATGATACAGGTTTCCAGGTGTCTGGTTCTTCTTCTTGCAGCACCACCGCTCCAAGGCCGTATGATGATGCGTCGGCTGCTATTTTGGTTGCTTTGTTGGGGTCGTACAAGGTTAGTATCGGTGCTGATGTCAGGGCTTTCTTGATTTTGTCAAAAGCGTCTTGTTGTGGTGGTTCCCATGTCCACGCAGTGTTCTTAACTAGCAGTTCTCGGATGGGCTTTGTCAGGTCAGCAAGATTGGTGGTAAATTTGCTAAATTGGTTTACCATTCCAAGAAAGGAAGGACTTCATGTAGGTTGGTTGGGTGTGGCATTTCGAGAATCGCTTGTATTTTCTCTGGATCGGGTTTGATGCCATCGGCTCCCACGATCTGACCTAGGAATTTCACACTCGAGACGTTAAAAACACACTTTTCGGCATTTAGCGTGACGTTGGCGTTACCGAGTCGTTGGAGAACCGCTTCCAATCTTCGGTCGTGTTCTTCTTGTGTTGCACCGTGAACTAGAACATCATCGATGTTGCATTCGACGCCATCCAAACCTTCGAGAATTTGGCACATACATTTCTGAAACTTTTCAGACCCTGAACTTATTCCGAAAGAAAGAACGTTGAAACAGTACCGTCCCCAGGGTGTTATGAACGTTGTTAGAGGTTTTGATCTTTCCGAGAGCTTGATTTGCCAAAATCCAGAGTTGGCGTCTAACTTTGTAAATTACCGAGCTCCAGCAATGTTTGCAAATGTCGTGTCGGTTGTTGGTAGGGGATGGTTTTCACGTTGCACGAACTGATTAAGCTTTGTGAGATCTACGCATACTCGAACTTTTCCATTGCTTTTTGGCGTTACAACCATCGGGGCGCACCATTCGGTTGGATCTTCAACTCGAGATATTATTCCGTTGCGTTCCATTCTTTGTAATTCCCGTTCGGTTTCTTTTCGAAGTGGTATCGCAACTTGTCGTGGAACCGTGATTGCAAAAGGTGTTGCTTCGTGCGTGACTTTAATATCATACTCTTGGTCTTTAATTTGTCCAAGACCAGTGAAAAGATTGGGATATTTTTCTTTAACGCCTTCTTTCATTTCGTTGCTGTTTAGAGCGTCGACACAGTTGAGTAAATTCAGACTGTGGGCTGCTTGTCTTCCTAATAATTATCTTTCGTGTCCTTTACGAATATTTCTTCTGTAGTTGTCTTGTCCTCGTGTCGCAGCTGTGAAGTGACTATTTCTATACAGTTCATTTTGTAATTGCACGGGCCCATAAGAACTTTGCCAGTCGACTTGAGTGTTGACTGTAGTTTTCGTTGTTGATATACTGTTAAAGGCATCACTGTGACGTCAGCGCCGCTGTCGATTTTGAATAAAATATTTGTTTCGTTTACCTTTATGTCTGCAGTCCACGGTTTATTGCCAGATTTATTGATAGTGTCGAGGTGTACGACTTCGCCCAAAAAGTAGACATCTTCCTCAGACGAACTTTTCTCCTCGGCTTCTTGCGAAGTTGTTGGCTTGCTTGGCTTCGACATGCTTTTGCCCAATGTCCTTTCTTTGAACAGTTATTACAGATGGACTCGCTTGCTAGGCAGAATTGCCTGGAGTGCGCTGGTCCGAGACACCGCGTACATTTGGGTTTGCCGTCCATTTTGCCGTATTTTCTGTCGCTAAAATTTTTTTCGCGCGAATCCCGCGAGGGTTGTTTTCTATTCTTAGAAATGTTGTCAATATTATGCTCGCTACTTCCGGTCGATTTTTGTCCATGAATAATGTTTTGTTGTTTCTTGATTTCCTCGCTTTGTCTGGCTTGAGCCATGGCTTTTGCTAAAGTAAGATCTGGATCTAATTGTAATTTCTCAGACAACTTTTTATTTCTCAGTCCGAAGACGATGCGATCTCTTATTAGCTGATCCTATAATACGCCAAATTCGCAATACTTTGCAAGACAATGCAGGTCGGTAATAAAACTTTCGACAGGTTCGTTTTCCTCTTGAATTCGAACGTTGAACTTTGCTCTTTCAAAAATAACGTTTCGTTTGGCGATGAAGTGATTTTCGAACTTGTCTCGAACTGTTTCGTAGCTTTTCATTTCTTGTTCGCTGAGACCAAACGATGTTATTATGTCATCTGCCACGTCGCCCATAGTATATATCAGCGCGTTGACTTGTTTGGCTTCCTCTTTCTTGTCGAGTTCTGTCGCAATTCTGAATCGCTCAAAGCGACGAATCCATCGGGTCCACTCCGAGGATTTAAAGCTAAATTTCGACGGAGGTGTCACTTGATATGTTGTGAAACTTCTCGCGGTACTTACCTCGTTTGGTTCTGCCCCATATTTAACTTATGCTGAAATAGGTTTCTTGTACTCTATTTCACACGTACGTATACTATGTTGGGTTTTTTTTGTTGTTTTTATATCGTTTGTGCTTATTAGTTTATAATAAGTTTATTTAATTTCTTTTGGTCACTCGAGTATCCCACCGCTGCCACCATGTAGTAAGGTTTGAAAGAGACTTTAATATCAATACGTTAGTCTATATACACGTGGCCCCGTCATTAGTAATAGTTAATATTAATTGAATCACATTACAAGAAGGAAAACATATAAAACTTTGATGTTAACGGCAATTATATATGAGGTTTAACATCGGAAACGTCGATTTTTGAGCGCAAAACATACAATTGGACGACAGTCGTTCATATTTGCAGACCGGGCATTGAAACATCTATACGGAATAGGGGCGGATCCAGGAGGTGGCAAGCGCGGCTTGAGCCACGGTCAGATTTTTGAGATCGTCATACTCTCTATAACATGGTCTTATTATATAAACGCGTCCCAAACCTTTTAAATTTAAACAATTATAAACTCCCATCGTTATATCTTACTGTTATTTGATTTTCAAAAAAATCTCGAAATAAAAACGTAAATATCTCAAAAGATGTAATTCCTGAGCTATAGAAAGGTTCAAAACCTTAGGAACACCCCCTCCCCCCCCCCAAAAAAAAAACAAAAAAAAACGCAGGAGGTAGGGAAAACCCCTCACTTGCTGAATGTTGAATGTTTGCTACGACGATAACCGAGAACTCGAAGTTGATCATTCTTAGTTCGTAAAATGTTCGTAAAATGCGACTGCGATTTTGAGCCACGGTCCGCGGTTCTGATGTTACTAAATATAGTAACTTCTTGCCACTTTGAGCTACGGTGGAGCGTGTCAAGCCAATCACAGGCCGTTATTTTATCATGTGAGCCACGGTGAGCCACGGTGGCCATGCTTTTGTTGCGCAATATTATGGAAGTGGTTAAATCGGGAATTGTTCGGAAACTTCTCACCATGACATGACGCAGTTTAGTGACTGAAATGTTTTGGCGCTTTTAAAAACTCTCAAGAAGACGTTTCGAGCGAGGTTTTGTTGTTGAATCAACATTGTGGTCGGGAAGACAGCAAGGGAAGTTGGAATAGAAAACATATACGAACGTCCAGAAAGATAGACCTGCGCTTATATGGGCTTTGCTAAATAGGGGGGGGGGGGGGGGGGGGGGTCTCGTCACGAAATCACGAAGATGATTTTTCGATTTAAAGAGTCACGAAAAACAAAATTTCATTTTCACGATTTTTAGAAACACAGACGCGTAACAAAGTCTGAAACCATTTAACACATACTCACGTTAACATTAGAGCCGTTTAAAGGACAATGGAAATCATTGCGAGGCATTACGAGCATCGTACGATGGTTCACGAAGTTTACGAAGAGGTACCAAGGTATACGATAACGACGTTTACCGATGAAACGAAGAAACCTCAAAAACTAAGACAACTGCGGGAACCAAATTTATAAATTATTCCCCATAATATTACATTTGGGCCGAGTTTTAAACGCAAACATTCACAAGTTAGGGTAAAATATTTGTAAATTCAAGACCATAGCTAGCCGTTTAGCTCTTCACCATTCACGGCACGCATATTAATCACGATTCACGGAATGGTAATTCTTTAAATCACGAATCACGAATTTTTTTGAAATTACCACCCCTATCTTGCCCTTTCCACGAAAATATTTAACCCAAATAGCAGTTCTACCGACTGAATAGCAGCCCTACCGACTGAATAGCAGTCCTGCCGACTGAATACAATTTCTGGGGGTGCCCCGCGGCTCAGTAGCTCCGGGCCAGCATGTATAACTGCCTGGTTGGTATATTTGTGAATTATTTAGATCGTATAACAATTTCTTAACGACAATTATACCGTTTGTTGACATGTATCCATTAGTTATATGGCGCCCATATATACTGGCAATGCAATGTTTACAAATTCAAGGTTACTTTATTTGTAAAATATTTTGGTGATATTATGCAGTATGGTACTGGCACATGTTTTATTTATATATATATTGAATATCCTAATTATTCTGTCAAATAATCACTGGGTAAAATTAGGATATGTGTTTATATGGAGCCATCTTCATATTGAAATGTGTTTGGAGATGATCTTAATTCTTTTGTCGGCAAATATTTCTCCTGCTGAGGGGGTGATGCAAAATATGCAAAAGACATGCAAAAGACATGGAAACGTATACTTGTGAAAACCAATTGTGTGCAAGCCCACTCATTTGAATCCATCAGGATGAGAAAATCGTCAACAAAATCACTAACTGCATGTGAATCAGGCTTTAGGTGTTACTCCGAGTTCTTTTTGTTTTACATTTTATTCACTTTTAAAGGAGTATTTTAATAAAACTTTTACAAAACATGTGTTCGTTGTCTTATCGTTTTTAAAAAGCGCTAGACTATATTACTGAGCCCGTTTCTACAACATAACCGCTGACTAAGCGCTAGACTATCTCGCTGAGCCCGTTTCTATAACATAACCGCTGACTAAGTTCCAGTCTTTAAAGCTGTTTCTTAATTGTTTTCTCACACGGCTACACTCTCCCCTCCTTCTTGAATGTCGTCTCTGACATTTTGGATCCGTATCTTCTTAATACAACTGTTCCAAGTTATAAGTATCCTTAACAATTCAGACACTCGAGTTGGTTGATCAGGCCAGCTCACTAACCGAAACGTAATCTCTCTCTTCAAGACACTATAGATCCTAAATACGTAAGTTACCTTACTTTAGCTAATTTGTATCAAGTACAGTGAAATCCTAAGTGAATCAAATGTTGTTTCTTTTAAATATAAATGTGAACGTTTAATATGTTTACTTGTTCCTCTTTGTCTTCTAATACGTTGGGTAGTAACCAAAAGGCGGTGGTGATATCATAGGGTTCATAACTTGTGCGTGGAACATGGGATTCTGTATTGGACTCATCCACGGTACTGATATCATCGGAGGTTGTATCGGTCCAATCCAAGGTGGGTCAAACCACGGATCTCGTATTTGAACTAATCCCACGTTAGGGTCTTGCCAAATGAAAGGAAATTCACCCGTAGGACAACCAGGTTCATTGTACCCAAAACGTAACGGTGGCTGTCTTTGCCTTTGTGGACGAACCGGTTGCGGCGGTGTTTCTTCGATATCACCCGGCGTTTCCATCGTTTCTTCTACTTGTATGTTCAGCCTGTTCGCGTCATTTTCATTACCATGTACTTCCCTACTCTGGTTAATCTCGTCATTTGTACTTGGGTCCACTGTCGCGTCGTTTGCCGACTCTGGTCGTAAGCTTAACTGTACAAGTTCGTCCATTTCGTTTGGAGGCAGCGACAGTCCCTCCTCCCCCTCCGAATCTGATTCTGAATCCTCTGGGGTGTGTATAATCGGGGTCCGTTCTTTCACTTTCTCTACCCGCTTCGTCTCTGGCGTTGCTGTCGGTAAATAATCACAAGGTAACAGTAAATTTCTGTGCAACGTGCGTATCTTTCCCTTTCCTGATTCGGGTTTGATATCATAAACAGGACTCTCGGGATTCTTCCTCGATACCACTACGTGAATCTCCTCTTCCCAGAACGCTCGTATTTTGCCTGGACCTCCGCGTGGTGATAGGTTCCGAACAAGCACTCGGTCACCAGGTAAGAGGACAGTCGACCTTACGCGTTTATCGCTCTGTTTCCTTCCCTTAGACGCCGCTTTCTCCGCAGACTTGGATGCTAACATGTAAGCTTCCTGCATTGCTTTCTTCCATTTATTGGCATAAGCTGGATAACCGATTGATTCTTCTTTTCTTGTTAAGTTAAACATCAAATCAATGGGAAGACGAGGCGGTCTACCAAATAGTAGCAAGAACGGGGAGAAGCCAGTAGATTCATGCTTCGTACAATTATACGCGTATATTAGTTTGTTCCGTGTTGAATACGCTTGTGTATATCTGGTAAAGTGGTCGACTATGACCAGTACATACTCGAACCCTCCCGAACTTCGCTCTAAATGGACAAAATCAATTGATACCAGTTCGAATGGTGCGGACGTAGAAATGGAGTGAAGTGGTTCTCTGTTGGTAAAGGTGGGTTTTCTCTGTTTAACACAACTACATACGTGCGTGATAAAATGTTCAATATCGTTCTTCATTCCAGGCCAATAGAACCGTTCCCTTGCAAGGTTGAAAACGCGTTCTGGACCAAGATGTCCCATTTTCTCGTGTAGTTCTCGAAATACTAACGATCTATACTTCGTTGGTAGTACAAGTTGCTGGCCTCGATACAAAATACCGGTCTTCCTGTCGATCATGAGATTATGCCACTCCCGGAGGTATTTCTTTAGTTCAGGGGTTTCTTGTTGCCTTTCTTCGAGAGTTGGTTTCTTTCGCGCCCGTACATACCACTGAACCCGACTTGTCGTTGGGTCTTCTCGTTGCGCTCTAGCGATCTCTGTCTGTTTGAACTGGATGGTGTTTTCTCGCTCTGGCAAGAATAACTTGTCTGTCTCGAGGGCCTCCGGCTGATCCGTAACTGATGTAATCCAGGGGGAATCACCATTGCTGACGGAAGAAATCTGAGAGACTGCTGCGTTGAACTCCGGATTTGAAACCGTTTCAGAACAAGAGTCCATGAATCTTTCGAAGTCCGCAGGAATTCTGGACAGGCTATCCGCGTCGATGTTTACTTTTCCCGGTCTATATTTGATCTCAAAATTAAAGTCTGCAAGTTCCCCAACCCAACGCAAACCGGTCGCATTAAGTTTCGCTGTCGAGAGAATATAAGTCAGTGGGTTATTATCAGTATAGACTACGAAGGATGGTGCATAATATAAATAATCCCTGAATTGTTCGCTGACCGCCCACTTTAGAGCAAGAAACTCTAACTTCCCCGCATGTAAATGGTAGTTCTTCTCAGCTTGCGTTAATGTGCGTGATGCATATGCGATGACACGGAGCGTTCCGCCTTGACGCTGATATAACACGGCTCCCAGCCCGTTCTGGGAAGCATCTGTATGAACAACGTATGGTGAACTGTAATCAGGGTACGCTAGAATCGGGGGTGAGGTGACGCAATCAATCAATGTATTTAATGCCGTCTGGTGTTTCATAGACCACTGAATAGGATGGTTCGATGGCAGTTGCCCATTCTTCCTGGAGTTCTGATTAGTGTTCACTTTCCCTTCCAACAGCTCATAGATGGGTTTAGCAATCTTCGAAAAATCTTTGATGTGACGTCGGTATACTCCTAACAACCCAATTACTCTTCGAACCTCTCCGACAGTTCGCGGTATTTTGCTCTTCAACAGGATGACAGCTTCGGTTGCTTTTGGATCAATGTTATACCCCTTTTCTGATACTATTCTCCCAAGAAACGATACTTGACGCTTGAATAACCTGCATTTTCCTGGCTTCAGTTTAACACCATGTTGTTGCAGTCTCTGCAGAACTAGACGTACGTGTTCAACATGCTCTTCGAATGATTTGGAAAATATAATAATATCGTCGAGATAGGGAATACATATCTGGTCACGTAAATCCCCTAAGCATCCTTCCATGAACCGTTGGAAACTAGCTGGCGCGTTCGTTAGTCCGAATGGGATGCGTACCCACTCGTAAAGCCCCCACGGCGTCACAAATGCTGTGAATGGTTGACTATCTGGGCTGACAAAGCCTTGATGATACGCTTTGCCTTGATCTAATGTACTGAACCAGGAGTTTCCCCCTAGGTTATCTAAGGTTTCTTGTATCCTGGGGATGGGGTGTCTGTCTTGAATGGTCTTTTTATTCAGTGCCCGGTAGTCGACACATAGTCTCATGGTTCCATCCTTCTTCCTGACGCACACCACGCTGCTAGAGTAAGGTGACTTCGATCGTCTGATAAAGTTTTTGTTCAGTAGGTCTTCCAGATAGTGTTTCACTTCCGGGTAAAGTGGACGTGGAATGGACGCGTAATTTTTCTGAACCGGTTGTCTGTCCGTAAGATTTATCTCCATTTTCAAGTCCTTGATGCACCCAATGTCGTCATCGTCGATCGCAAAAGTATCTCGCTCCTCATACAACATGTTTTTTACCAAAGTTTGCTGTTCGGGTGTGAGAGTACTTAAATCGATTTCCGGTATGAATTGTTCTTTCTCAGAATTTACAGCTGAATGGCAAGGGTCCTTAGTTTGACTAGTCCCCTGTCTCTCCATTCCAAAATTCATATCAGCTCTTTTCTCATCTACATTTTCCTTTAATTTCACCTCAATTGGTGTAACAGAACGAATAAGTTCAAGGCTTCCCAAAACAGTCCGTCCAGGTAGTACGATGTCATGCATTGTATCGTTTGTCACTTGCACTTGCATGATTGTGGATTTTCCCTTTTTCACAGATGTTAAGGTTTCATGAACTATTAATCCGGGGGGCCACTCTTGTTTTTCATCAGGTTCAAAAAGCACTGGTCTTGTATTCTCAATCGTTCCCGTATTTGCTCGACAGGGTACTGTTTTGGTAGCTTTCTTCGGTATTGTAATGTGACGTTTGGATGTTTTTACTTGGCAAAACAACTCCCCATCATTTCTTTGGATAATGTTTATCAATTGCTCAGCATCTTTCACTCCAACATTATTAAAACTTGACACTATATGGTGTGCCACTGATAAATTATCTGAGTAGTTTTCACCTTCTTGCAAAAACAGTTCAATAACATTGTACCCAATTATTGGTTGTTCCAACTGTTCGGGTGTTACTAAGAATGGTACTGTTACTTCTTTTTCATCTTCTCGGTTTAATCTAAATCTAGCTTCCACCCAGCCTTTATAAGGGATCGACGTCCCATTTGCCGCAGTTAAATTCAGACCAGAACCCGCACCAAGCAATTCACTAATATCACGTATTTTCAAATCAGAAAAATTGTCAGACAGTACCTGTTCCGGGAAAATGGAAACCTGAGCTCCAGTGTCCCATAACGCTTCCATGTCAACATCATTTACAAGACACCGAACAAAGCATTTGCGACCAACAAGTTTAGCAATTGCAGCGTGTTTCTTTGGAGAAAGGTGACTTGTAAACATTTCTGTGTCTGAACTATCTCCCAGTCCTCTGAGAGTTTCATTGTTTTGATTTAGTTGTTCCTTAATGGCATTGCAAAGTATTTGGTGTTCACTCCAATGTCTTTTTTGACATGATTTTGAGCAATAATACACCAGTTTGCAGGTGGAACAACGTTTAAAGTTAGCGTAAACTTCCTCTTGGTTACAACCATTGCATCGGTGGGACTTATTCTGGTTTGACGCGGCTACTCCTAGTCCCTCAGGGGTAGCGTCCTCTCGTTTCCCGACCTGCAATATCGGGCAGTGTGGTTTCTTCCTCCACATTTGAAACAATGAGGACAATTAACTTGATTCTCTTCGTGGCATTTTTTTACACAATGGAGGGTAATCACCTTGACGGCCATCATTTCTTCGGTTTTGACCAACACGACCCATCATGAAGGTACTGGAAGGGGGGTGTCCTTCAGGGGAATCTTTCTGGTCTACTTTCGTCCGCAAGCTAGCCACCTCGGACTGAACTGCATTCAATTCTGCCTGGATCGCTTTTAATGTGGCCAGTATCTCACTATCATGTGCATTTGGTGACTCTGCAGGTCTTGGTGGCACTCCGGTTTCTATCTTTGAGACTTTTGGTGAGGACTTTACTCGGCCCACCTGGTTGAACTTCGTGGCTCTTTCTGATTCAGCAGCCATCGCAGAGCTCATTGCTTCAATTAGCTCTTCATCAGCCACTTAAGGAGTGGCCTCATTTTTTCCCGAATGGTTTCATCGGCAAGGCCAGTTTCTAGGGCATGCAAGAATAGGCCTTGGACAAGCCCTTCATCATATTTGATCTTGGTATCCGATTCTTTTGATGCAAACACTATTTTTTGCCGAATCGTCAGGGCACGAATTAAAAATTCTTGTGGACTTTCTTTTGGGGCTTGACTGATATTAGCCAAGAGCTGGTAGAGCTCGGTAGCACTTTTCTCTTGGAAATGAAAGCGTAGTATTTTACGTAATCGTGGTAATGTCAACCCATTTATTCCCTCCAAATAACTTCGTAGTTGTAACCCAGCCTGAACAGCTCTAACCACAGCATGGGTAATTTCCTCTTCTGTGTAACCCTTTTGCAACCCAATTTCAATCTGTGAAATGAGTGACTGATATGCTAGTTTATCTTTATGCCCTGGCTCTCCGATTTGTCCTTGTATCATGAATTCCCGACGGAGCATGCTTGTTTTCATGTTAATAAATGCACTTTGTGGCTTATCTTGTTGTGTTACTGATTCACCAGTTATAGTTATGTCCTCAGTTGTTTCATTTTGGGTTTGGACAGTATTTATTTGATCTTTGAGTTTTTCCTGCTCTACTAGTAACTTTTCATACTGTGTTTTGAGCTGTTTCAGTTCCTGTTCACTCTTTTCTTTTGCTTTCAGGCTTTCCTCATTTTGACTCATTGTTTTGCTGTCTAAAATAGTTTGTATTTTTCCCAATAGACTGTCAAGCTGCTCGCTATTACACTTAAGTACTTCTTCTTCAAATACTGTACGTATAATTTTAATCAGTTCCAACCTACCCTTTTCTCCGATTTCTTCTACCTTTATCCATTTCATTTCTTCTCCAAATCGGGCCAATTCCATTCGTTTTAAGCCCAGCATACGAGACTGAAGCTCTATAATCAAATCTTCTGACATTTTTCAACAGTAGATCGTCCAACTTCCCGTTGTAGAACTTGTATTAAACTTTTATATACATATATATCCAATATCCACAATTTGTCAATAACTCACGTATATAAAGTATCATAAATCTCGCAAATCTCGTGTATTTTCTCGCCCAAACATCGATTTTTCTACATATTACCTTCCATTGTCTCGGTGGGACCTCCAAATGTTACTCCGAGTTCTTTTTGTTTTACATTTTATTCACTTTTAAAGGAGTATTTTTAATAAAACTTTTACAAAACATGTGTTCGTTGTCTTATCGTTTTTAAAAAGCGCTAGACTATATTACTGAGCCCGTTTCTACAACATAACCGCTGACTAAGCGCTAGACTATCTCGCTGAGCCCGTTTCTATAACATAACCGCTGACTAAGTTCCAGTCTTTAAAGCTGTTTCTTAATTGTTTTCTCACACGGCTACATAAACAGAGTGTAAAATGAAAAACCACTTCGTGGATTTTTCACTCTTTAATAAAGCTATTGATTCATTCATTCATTCGCGGCTTCGGCGCTCAACTTGTCCCCCCTTGTCCTGTAACTCGTAAAAGGGTCAAGATGGCGCCATATTGGGGAAAAAGGTGGCATACTGAACTTGTCATATCTTCGAAAGGAGTTCGGTGACCCCAACTTTTTTTCTGTTTTTACTATGAGCATCATAAACTTCACCCCTGGGAAGTTTCAGCAAATTCTCATTTCCACAACAATTACTGATAAATCATCTTAAATGATGATGGTCTCTTTTAACGTGAATATTTCGTAATCTGGTCGACTGTCGAATAGTTTCACTTTACACTTTTGTGATGACTGGCGAAAATTCAAACGAATCAGTCAGTCATTCATTCAGTCAGTCATAGAGTAAACTTTCCAGGGGGTGTATACGATTTATGTTCGTAGTGATTTATTGTACTTAGTCAGTGTTTTGAAGATTATCTAGGCAATTTCAGTTGTTTCATTTTAAATATTCTTTAAGCCTTTTGCCAAGTTCACAAAAACTTCGAGGAATCGTTGTCGTTACTGTAAATTTTAGAACATTCGTTTCTGATGTTGTGTAAAGGATCTTTCCCCCGGAACACCCGATTTTTTCATGCGCTATCAAGCATGCGCTATCAAGCCGTAGATCAACGATGGCGTGACGATGCTACGAAGGAGCGACACAGTTTTGTTTTCAAATATATAAATATTTCAGACGTGAATATTAAGTAATTCTTTGAGAATCTACGCAATATATAAATTGATGTTATGCATTATGGGCATTCAATCAAGTACCGATATTATTTAGACGGTATATTCATTATACAGAGCTGGGAAGGAGCGATACAGTATTGTTTTCAAATATATAAACATTTCAGACAAGAATATTGAGAAAATCTTTGAGATTCTACGCAATATATAAAAGTGCCGATATCGATATTGTTTAGACCGTATATTCATTATACACTGACTGTATGTGTGCTACACTGCTACACCACAGAGTAGATGGCTACACTCAGTACAAAGAAAGAAAAATTGCGTCAGATCAGTAGCATAAACAACTACTAAACAGAAGCGGGTGTTCGTATCATTGTATGGCGTTTACGAAGAAAATAACCAACAAAATATCTTGCGAGACTAAAGAAAATCTCTTGACTCGTCAGAGCTCTTTATTCAAACGAGAAAGACGAGGAGATAGCGAGCGAAGCTCCCCAAAAGAGATTAGAGTGGGATAATTCGAACCCAATATTCTTTGTTGCCTCAAATGCAAATTTAAGGTTATTATATATTGAATATCCATGATTCCCAGTTACATGTTTTGAAACAGTTTTTGTGAGTGGTTGGGTAAAACAAATCTTTGCCAGAACTTAAGACCCCCAGTCAAACACCCGTTGCACCCAAAGCGCGCGACTTCCCAATAATAAAGGTCCATATTATATTACTCCGCATTGTTTACTTTGACTCGTTGGTTATTCTCTTCGTGCCAGACTAGAATAGTGTACTATAACTACATACTTTGATTAAAAACAAACACACAAAGAATCAGTGACAAAATTGTTACATGCTGTTAATTAGCTATTAAGAACTCTCGGTATACTCAATACGTAAGAAGGCTATATTTTAATATACTTGTACATGAACTTTGTTTAAAAAATATTATGACTATAACTATTTCTGAAGTCATGCATGCATGCATGCATGGTGAATCTACATGTATAGCTTTCGGAGAAACACCAATGAGCTAATAGGACAAAGACAGGACCCTTCATTCCACGAAAGGCAAACTGACTAGGGAAGACTATTTATTTGGACTCCTACAAGCTTCAACATGAGACATATAAGTTGTTGAACCACAATTAAAATACATGAAAAACGGCAAACTTAATTTTTATTGCCATTTCCCTTTAACAAAACATCACGACTTATTCTTTATACTAGTAAGCGTTTCGTAAACCCATGAAAGACCAAAACGTGCACGCAGCTCCTCCGCTGGTTTCCTGTTCAATAATTCTAACTCGTATGAGTCACCTGCCAAGAGATAAATACTTGTTTCCATAATTATATCATAAATTATGCTACGAAGAGGGGATTGCAAAGTTCGCATAGAAATTGTTCCAGTGATTGGCCATTATAAAATGTTCTGTCTATATAAATCATCTGCATAGTTGTTATTATAACTGAGAACTCCAGAAGGAATTTTGCAACATTCAAATGAACTTTCCCACAGCAAAACCCAAAACAACAATAAAAAACAAACGTAGGGCAAAGTTAAAGTGATTAAAATAAATTTTCGTGAACACTGCATGTATACAGTCAAATTACCAAGTAGACGGCTTAGTTCTTCCTTTGGAACAGAATATGGAGGACCTACAAAGAAACAAATTATTTCCACTTATTATAGATTTATCCCGTCTTAATGTAATATATACAACGCTCTACCATATTAATACGTTGCTAATATCAACTGAAGCCATCTCACCTCAGCTGACATCAGACATTTAAGGCGTGCAATTAAATATGCTCGATTGCGTAACATTGTTAGTAGTATTTTAATTTGACGAAAAGTAAGATAAACATCTTGAGGCCAAAACGTTAAAAATAATTTGTTCAATAAAAGAAACTCGTAAAATTCATCAAGGAAATGCTTACATCTATACTCTATAGGCCTAGATGTGGAAAGTTTAGAATGAATCCGCATTTATTGATCTCGTTTTCGCGTGTAAAAATTCGTTTGATAACGAGGCCTGTCGTGCCTACAATTTCAACAAACGAATTTTAATAAAATTTCGTGAATAGTTATGCTCAAATTGTTTACAAGTTACCATGCATGCAGACCCTATAGCTCCCAACAAACTAAATTATATTTCATGTCCTCATGCGTATTGATACTGATTGTTCAAGCTTGAATTCATTTTCGATTTTGAAATACTACAAAATAAGTCAGACCTGGAAACTCATCTTGATCATAAAGGCATGCTTGCAGTAAAATACGACCATGTCGAACGTCAAGAATTTCCAGTGAAATATGTAGATATCTACAAGATCAAAGCAATCATACCAAGTTTTAATAGACCTTACCGATTATTCTCTTTTACCCAATGGTCTCGTTTCCATGTTATTATTCTGGCATGTCAGGGGCAGATAAAGATTATATTCCCATGTTTTCCTGGACAAAGTTGTTTCTTGTTGTTCTTAGGCTCAATAACAAAGTAATTTTCAATCCTACTAAGCACCAAACATGAGTACGTATTTGACATGAAAACGAGGCCATTGGGTAAACGAGAATAATTGGTAAGGTCTATTCATAAAATAAAACAAATTCCGAAAAATGCACATGCATGGATTAAAATCATGAAAGCTTTATATGATTTATTGGCAAAATTTACCATATAAAAATGCATATGAATTAAGAAAATTTTATATGGTAAAATTTTACCAAATGTTCACGACCGTTATTTGACTACATTGGCTTGCGTCCGTGTATATGTACCGATAATGTACTTTTTCTGAAACTTACTCTGCCCAATAATGCGGGGAAATTGCTCCTAATGCATTACAATCCCAGATAGCATCAACCTTTCCACCTGCAAGTGAACTATAGGAAAATAAGGAAAAATGGTTTATAGAAAAATGTCCTTCGGTTTTCACTTAATAACGTTTTTCACATTCAGATCCTGCATTCAATTTCTTTCTGCCACGGGAAAAGTAGTTTGCGTCAAAATTGTCCCAGTTTCACTGATTGGCTATCGAAATGTTCTACCCAAGCATTAACATATAGTCATGCTACCAGCCTTAAAATAACTACTGTTTGCTTAAACATTGGAACAAATTTTGCAAACTAACTTTCCCAAAGTACAAATCCAAATGGAGAACTGAAAAGGAAACTAAGAATTACCTGTTGAACTTAAAGTAATCACAATCAAATATTTTTAATTTCCCATCGAAAGCCTAAAATGCAGACGAACGAAGTCAATTTTCATTATTACATCACCTCTTTAGGGGATAGCCTGCGTGTCAGGCTCAATGCCTGAAATAGAACCTTCTACCGAAGTATTAAAAGAAAGGGGGATTTATGCGTACGAATCGTGCGCAAAATCCCCATTGGTCAGAAATAAATAGCCTTGCCTGTTAAGGTAATAATATCAAGTTGTTGGTGTACATTAGTACTTAGTACTCAATACATTAGTACTCAGGTGAATATGATGCTTGTGATGCTATTCTGAGTGTATATCCACACCGCGGCCAGGCCATCGTGGCCAGGCATATTTTTCATGCTTACCCGCGGTGTGGATATACACTCAGAGTAGCATCACAAGCATCACGAATATGATATTTGCTGTCGTTCTTATTATTACTCGCTGGAGCACACTGTGCCCAGGCGAGTATAGGTTTCGGCATGTATTTTTCGCGGATCGGCAATCTCCAATCGTCGTCGATAGCCACAAAATAGAATATTAATGAGCTGCCAAAGCTACCCAAATTATCCATAAGGCTCCTGCCAATTTTTACCCAAATTCTCCATAAACAACCCTAATTTTGTAAGAAAATTCAAGAATTTTAATAAAAAACTAAAAAAGCCAAAGCTGCTATTTATTTGAACCGCTTTTTGTACGGCAATATTGCAAATAAATCATGTTTATATGGTCAAAAAAATATCTTATAGCTCGACAAAGACAGAAATACAAAGATAGCGATGCACAGCAACAATTGTATGAAATATAAACATCACTACTTGTGTGGAACTTCGCCGCTTGAAGGTCAAGCATGATATTAAATTATAATGTGATCGTGACACAATGCAGCTATACAGGTGAAAGAGTTGGAAGATTTATGTATATATATTTCCTGAATTCGCCTAGGTCTGAGAGAAGGAAGAATTTTTGCATATAATTTTCAATTTTGCTATGAAACCCATGGTGGCAATTTAAGGTCAAAATGCCAAATGAAAGGTACTTGAAAGTTGAAATTAAACCCTGATTTGTAAACATGAAAGTATAATTTCATACTACTTTCAAAGGACTATAGAATTTCTACTTCAGTTTAAATTGAAATGCTTATGTGGCTAACAAAATAAGACCACCCTTTGTTACATAATATATGCACCTACCATCGGCAATCCCTGGGGGTACAACTCCGCGGGATACCTGCATGCTTCATCCCCTCTCGGCCGCCATGGCTACTCTTTGTAAACATCCCCACCCCCAGGGCAGAAACACAATGCAAGACTTTAGCCCCGTTTACACTACGCTCAATTTTTGGTACGGCACGGATAAAATTGGTACCCGTACCACTTTTTTGGTTCTTGGACTACCTACTTAGCTAAGCCCCGTTTACACTACGTTCAAGTGGTACGGGTACCAATTTTATCCGTGCCGTACAAAAATTGGGCGTAGTGTAAACGGCGCTTTTGTAACAATATCAATCCATCGCTTTCAAGAAGCATCTTTAATCCAGGTACTGGGGAAATTTTAGTTCTACTTCTGGGGCCGGTTGTTCACAGCACGATTATATAGTGCTGCATATATGTATATCTGTACGTCGGTTTCTTTCAAAAATTTAGAAAATTAAACTTCTGATGATCCAGACAAGATTTCTGAAAAAAATTTCCAAGTTTATAAACAAGCTGCTGGGCATGAAGTATATGCTGTGAATTTCAAGTTAACCCAGGGTTAAGCTCCGGCTTTTGAACAACCAGCCCCAAATGGAAAATATGAGAACATATATATACTCATGAGATTGGAATTGTTCTCTTCCCAAAAACCAAGTATACCTAGAAATAGTCAAATAATTGCCATGCTGCCATTGTTTTACTATGAAATTATAATTAGAAAATTGTTTATTATTTACATGCAGGGTAAGCCAGTATAGCATAACATTTCAGGGTTCTATGGTACACCTATATGAATATAAGCCCTGGGCTTATATTCATACCATAAGCTAAGCATGGGAGCTTATATACGGATGACATTTGATGTTAGTAATAACATTTATCCTACTTGTAAACTATAGTGTGAACGAAAAGAAATATAAACATACAGTATATTATAATCTATACATAAAACAAGTTGGTTTAATTGTCACTCATCTGAGCTGTTCGAATCCAGGTCACTGCATTAATAATATACCCATCCAATAATATAAGCCTGCATGTGGGTTTGTACATTTCTAACAGTCCTGCCTTAATTATTTTTCAAAAATACAATTAAAAAAAGTAATAGCAATTATTATGTAAAGAAAAATTAGACTGTCACAGAATTTCAAGAAATGCAGTATTTAAGCAGGAGGCATGCCTTTGACAGTAGCAGGCTCAAATTAACAACAAAGAACAGTACGATAACTGTATCTACTACATAATTATGCTTTTATAAGAACAGGTATAAAGACTTTGAAACAAGAGTCAGGTGACAACTCGAATCAATTGGCCATTTGATTGTTGTACCATGCATATATACAGTAATGTGCATATTTGTATAGCCCCAGCGAGTTAACGCTCCATAGAGCGTCTTGTTTAGTATGTATAATTCCTGGCCGTTTAATGAAAATTGGAATATCTATTTTCGAGATATTGGCGGGAAAATTGGCCGTTATTGGAGAGTTTAAGCTTCGCGTTATATACGTCCAACGGCGAACGCCAGGCAAAGAAATATTTTACGGTATCAGGCAATAAAGAGTAAATGAACTTGCTGTTTTAAAACTGAAATACATGCATAATTATTCCTTCGACGCAAGAAAGAAAATATGAAACGAAAACGTTCAACAAAAATTTTGCCAAGAAAGTTCGAACCTGCCGTTTGCCGTTCCCGGAAACGTGAAGCTTAAACTCCCTATTGTCATACTTCCCGAGCCAACTAATTCCGCACGGCTAATTATCCCCGAGCGAAATTTTTAAGCCAGGCCATTCTTAAGTTCTTAACTCGATACTTCACTTTAATGCAAGCACTTTAACGCAAGCACATTCACTTTAATGTTCATTCATTCATTAAGCTAGCGCATCAGTTGTGTTTTTATGTTTGTTGTAATGGTCTTAATACTTTGTGTGGATTTTTATACTTCATCTGTTACAAAAGGCGAGGGGTTGTTGCATGCATGTATTTTCTAGTATCCGGGTATGTGAAACATAGTGAAGTGCAAAGTTGTCCTCCATTTTGTTTATGTCACGGACAGTTTTTCGACGTTATGCGCATGCGCGAGTACAATCTCTGGTTATATTGTTAGTATACTGTTCTTTGTTGTTTAATATGTGTATTGTTGTAATTTATTTATTCGGGCCCACAGTACTTGGCAATTACGCTGTTGCGGATTCCCTATCACTATGTAATACGTACAAGAACAAGTCGGAAATTTGCTGTCGCTGGTCAGTAAATTGCGGGCGCTAACGAAAATTTTGTTTTAAATTATTAAAATGAGCAAAATCAAGTTTTTGGGCTTCTCGTTTGGGAAGCAACCGTGGGTGTGCAAGAATTTAAGTTCGTTTATTCAAAGGCTATTGAAAAATGTCCTGGATAAGAGAGTTTAAACTGAAATCGGGCAATTATAAATTATTTATTTCTACGACGAAATATTGATCAAATTTAACTTTTTCCGAAGATTCAAGTTGTTTTCACTCCCTGGACAGATGAAATTAAAAACCTAAACTCACTGTGGGTTTAAAATTTATTTTTCACGCATTTTTCTACTCAGAAATACCTTTAGAAAGTTTATTTATGATTAAATCCTTGAAAACACTTAGTGCAACAAAAATCGTGATTTTGCTAAATATAGGAAAAAGCTAAATTTTCAACTTAAGATTGTAAAAAATCTAGTGGAGAGCCTCAAAACGAGCCGAGTATCTCTGAAGCTTTGTTTCCATTAAATCGTAATTATCGCAAGAACCGATTCCTGAGAATATTCGTCCAGTAACAATAATTCTTGTATGAAAGTAGCAAAACGAGCTCGTGTTGATAAACAAAGTCTCAGGCTCTCCACTCCTTCAAAGTTGTAAATCCCGTTTCGCGGCGTTATAAAGCCTTAAAATACTCATTAATAATTCATAAACCTTGTGGTAAATCATGTCAGCCATAATATGACACGTGGAGTGACTTTATATCTGATAAAGCATGTGCCATAATATAATTGTTCATTCTAATTAGTATTCTTTTGTAGTCGTATTTTAAGCTATTCAAAAAAAGTTGTCGTGTTTTATCAGACATAAAACGCTCGGCTGCGCCTCGCGTTTTATATCTGATAAAACACTCCTACTCGTGTTTTAAATAGTACATAATACTCCAAATTTTTTCCTCAAAATTCTTCTTGTATTCCGGCTTCACTTTTGCTTACTATAGATGCGTTGCCCAGCCTTATTTCAGATCAGTGGTGTTGAGTGCAAAAAAACTGTACAATGTCTACAAAATAAATAAGCATATTAAATTTATATAATTATTAAGTACTTAAATTTACCATGTAACAATGGCCATTTCCATCAATTGTATTTTTCACGTGCGCAATATTGTTTTCTTTAAAGAAATCGTCAATCGCTTTTTGTATAATTTCAATTCCTATTACTGTATGGCCTTGTTTTACCAACCTGTGAATTGTCAGATGATTTAAAAAAAATGGTTAGCAAGAATATTAAACATTAATATAGACTTGTAAAATCGCATGCAGACTTAAGTACAACATCATTATTATAAGTAATTCAGTGGTTTACAGTGTATAATATATATAACTCATACAACACTGTCTGACAATTTCATTTGGTTCACAATGCTGAATCAAGATGTGTGGCGGTCTCAGAACAACGATTTAAAGATCTGGAGCTGGCTCTACGAAGGCTGGATAGCGCTAACCACCAGTGTTTCTTTCAAGCTCTAAAATTGCTCGTTGATTGATTTAACCCAGATTAAACTTTAGTACTTACAAACTCGTTTTATTAACTGTGAGGTTGATATATTTAGTTTTATACCTTTCAAGCATTTTTACTTAATTCACTGTCCGGTGGACAGCGCTAACCAGCCTTCGTACAACCCGCCCCAGTGATATAAGAATATATTCTGTAACCTCGTATATAGCTTACCATAACAGGTCCAATGATTTGCCACAGAACGGAACTAATATCCTGCGGTTTTGTTTACCGTCAGTTAGTAATTCTATGTTTTCAGATAAATTTCTAAAACAGATATTATTTATATTAACTATATATGCCATATGGCTGTTATTAACTATATATATGGCTATCGCTTGCATATCAAACTACAGTGCATTCTTGGCTTTTTAGTACCATCGAAGAAGAATGACAAACTAGCTGACAGGTCAATATTTAACAATTATCAATTGAAATAATGAATTGGGTTTCGCAAGATATAAAGAAATATCAAGCCCGAATTTTGTGTTATCAACCGCGAAGACGAAGGTTGAGGTTGATAACACAAACTGAGGGAGGGCTTGAAATTTTTTTATTTAATTATTTTTTATTTAAAAGATGAAAATAACATCCGCACCTGTGGGTTAAATTCGTCGAAATAATGATCAGTACTAGTTCGTGTTCCCATCATGCAGAAATTCTCTCCTTTTTTCTTTCATATAAAGTACGTTTAGGCTTGTTTTATACGTCCAATTTTGGTCGTGTCGAATGCAATTAAGACAATATTCAATAGATAATGAGATGATAAACCTCATTAAGCTTCATTATCTATTGTTTGAATTGCATTCGACGCGACCGAAATTCGACATATAAAACAGGCCCAAGATGTTTGAAGACCTTTCGTTGCTGTTTTCGTTGATATTTCTTCTTTATATTTTGAAAGTTGTTCACTTTAAACCTGCGAACACATCCGAAGGCGGGGCAATATTGTTTTGGCCATGTTTCGATCCACATTTCGTATTTGTCTTTCCACAGCATGACGCCATATTCAACGTTATGACGTCACAACGTTGAATATTACTGTATGTTTAAAACTCCATATTTGGTCAGCTATTGACTTGATATGACGATTTCACAGTTGGCTGTTAGCTAATCAGAAACCATGAATATTTTAATTACTTAATTATTAAGTAATATTTAACAATTATTGAATCTAATGTTTTAAATAAACACTAATATTAAGAATTATTGTTTTTCTAAAATGCATGAAAAATTTCCGAGACTTTGAGTGCATGAGTACAATTATTCCATTACTTCAATATGAAATACATAATACAAATAGAATAGGAGTAGGAGTAGGGATTGAAGCAATTTTCAACAAACACCAATAAATATGGCTGTTATGTCGAATAAATACGAGTAAATTTTATATAGACTCAAGGCCAGCGAGAGGGGGCGCAGGGGGGGGGGGGATACCCGGGGCCCGGAATGCTCAGAGGGTAAAATCTCGGTAAAATGTTTGTATCGTTTATCATCATTTTATGTTTGTCCTAAATGAAATGTGCCTATACTTGCACACTATCCGCTGATCGTCGTGATCGATCGTAAAATGTGAAATGAACGATTTTTCGATTTTTTTTTTCCTGCAAAAACAGTTAGCCAAACATTGTTTACATCGCGTCTTTATTTTTCTCATGAAATGAGGTATTTACCTGTATTTAACAAATCTATTAATGACATCCATCTGCTGGTACAGTAACATGCATGCAAGCCACACGCGCCATCGGCACCGAAATTCTGCGGCGATTTCTTGCAAGTAATTCGCTAAAATTGCCCGTTGATTGATTTAACCCAGATTAAACTTTAGTACTTACAAACTCGTTTTATTAACTGTGAGGTTGATATATTTAGTTTTATACCGGGTGGCGCAAAAAAAAGTATAACTGTTTGATTTAGTACAGCGAACAATCTATAAGGGTTACATCCCTGAAATAAACGTAGCTGTATTCATGATAGTCTAACTTAAATTTTGAGCTATAGCATGTTTATTTACGTGCAATATTGACTGAGATATCGCCAAATAAAATTTGAAACGAAGTTTTGAAAATCTGACAAATTGGCTAAAAATGGCCTATTAAACTGTTTTGATAAATTTTAGAATTTCGTCAGACATATTCGCTTGTATGAATTTAATTTGAATTGAAACGTGTAACGAATGATTTTCCTTATTTATTTATTTGTTTTATTATCATTTGAAAAGCAACAAAATTTCGAAAAAGATGGCTCTTTTAATTAAGAATTGCTTCGCAGTATTCCATGTCCCATAGCTACAGGGAATTAAATTAGATCAACAACCGAACAAGTTGAGACAGCTTCGTGAAGCGATTATTGCTGATTGCCATAACTTTGACCAGCAAATAAATCCAACGTTAATTCGTTCGATAGTATGGTCACACGTGCAAGAATACAGTTATTTAATTTTCCATGATAAACTCGTTATTTACTGCCGTTGTGTTCTTCATATATCGTTAATTCCTTTACTCGTATTTAATAGGCTATTTTCAGCTAATTTTGGAACGTTTTGAAATTGCATATTCAAATTGATTTACCAATATCTTGGGTAATACTAAACAAAAATGCATGTGTTATACATCAAAATTTAAGTTAGACCTTCCTGGATAGGATAACATTTATTTGAGGAACGTAACACTTATAGTTTTTTCGCTGTACTAAATCAAACGCGTGAACTTTTTTTTGCGCCACCCGGTACCTTTCAAGCATTTTTACTTAATACACTGTCCGGTGGACAGCGCTAACCAGCCTTCGTACAACGCTGTGTTCTGTTTATACATTTGTATGTGAGCATTGCAATCTTGAAATTTATTCTAAATTTAACTGGTAGCCAGTGTAATCTTATTAACGACGGTGTGATTTGATTATGTTTTGGAACCGAACACACCAAGCGGGCTGCAGCATTCTGCACTCTTTGAAGCTTAGTCAGATGCACGGACGAAACACCATTCTTGACATAACAACAGCCTGTCTTCAAAGCATAAGAATCTCTTAATGCGCCTGATGTTATGTAGGTGATAGATCACAGATTGACAGGTCTTATTAATTGCTGTTTTCATACTCAAAATGTTATCGAACCAGGATCCAAGATTTCGAGCATTGGATACCGATAAAACCATTACTTGACCAATTCTCAACTCTGTGATCTTTATCTTTTCCAGTTGTGTACGAGATCCAATTATCAGAAATTCAGTTTTGTCTTCATTCAACTTGAGTTTGTCCACGGTCATCCATGTCTTAATATCGGCTATGCAGTTTTGCAAAGCAGTTACCGCTTCTAATTCACAAGCGGTAGAATCAGGCTTAAAAGAAATGTACAGCTGAGTGTCATCAACATAAGCGTGGGCGTCTGGAAGATGGTTCTTTATGACATCAAATAGCTTGCTGGAATATAATATAAACAGTAATGGCCCCAAATAGGACCCCTGAGGGACACCGTGTAACAAAGGAAAGTCCATCGAATGGCTCCCATTTATTACCACTCGCTGTGTTCTGTTAGATAAATAGGGCATTTCCTGTTATTCCAAAAGTTACCTGAAGACGACGGAGAAGAACTTGATGATCCACCGTGTCAAACGCTGAGCTCAAGTCTAGCAGAACGAGTAGAGTAACCTTCTGATTATTCATATTTATCAAGATGTCATTATGAACTTTCAGGAGAGCGGTTTCTGTGCTGTGACCGGCCCGAAAAGCTGACTGGAGCACCGGATATAAACCCGAACGCAATAGATGGATCTTGAGTCTGGTTGCAAACCGCTCTTTCTGTCAATTTAGATACAAACTGTAGGTTAGACACTGGTCTCAAATTTGGAAGAGAAGAATTATAACCAGATTAATTTTCTTAAACCGCGGGTGGACCGAGCAGCTTTCCACTCAATTGGAACGTATCCAAGGGACAGAGAAGAATTAATCATAGATGTAATAACTGGAAGAATTTCCTCGAGGCAGGTTGTTAATAGAGAAGTGGGTAGAGGATCAAGCATGGACGTTTTCTTAGTTGAAGCTCTAATAAGTTGATGTACATCTTCTTGTGTAAGCTCCTTAAAGTTAGATAATTTTTCGTGTTCAGCATTAAGCTCAGGATCATCAATCACCATAACCCGCTCTTCGTGAGTAATATGAGAAACATAAAGCTCTTTGCGAATATTAGCAACCTTACGATGAAAATAGTTTCCGATATAATTTGCACGAGCAGTGTTATTATGATAGTCAGGAAAACATAAATCACTTTTTGGCAGGAGCAGAACTTTGGTTGCCCTAAAACGTTTGCGCTGATCACACTCCTGTTCTTGTATAAATTTCACATAAAATTCCTTACGTGCCTTACTACTGATGTATGTTACATTATTTTTTAATCGTTTGAACACCAAAAGGTCTTCAGCAGACTTTGATCTCCTCCAGACTCGCTCAGCTCTACGTCGCTGTCTTTTCGCTTCAGCTATATCTTGATTATACCAGGAGACTTGTGGCCTCGATCTTACAACTTTCGTCTTAAGGGGTGCATGGCTATTTGTAATGGTGCTGAGAACAGTGTTGTAACTACACACGAGCTTATCAAGATCTTCATAACTAGATATAACATGCTCGCCATGTTCCCTCTTGCACAGATCTGACACTGCTAGATCTTGCCTAAGGCAGTGTAGATCCGCATCCTTAGTTTTCCTGTAAGTCACTCTACTAACTTTGGTCACAGACTTCACTATCAGAATACTGCTATGAACAGCTGCATGATTGGAAAAGTAGTGGCAGCTACGTGGCGGTGACCTTATAAGTGACTCTCTTTTGCGTGTGATAATAAGATCGAGGGTGTGACCATGGATATGAGTCGGTTGCGTGACATGCTGGTCAAGTCCAAGTGAATCCAGTAAATCAAGGAACTTCATAGCATCAGCGTCAATACAGTTGTCAACATGAATGTTAAAGTCCCCCAAGGATAAGTAAGCACTCCTTCGATAGAATGACCGATTCTAGGAAATTAGAGAACTCACTCAGAAAAGTGCTCATAGACACCCTATGGCCTTCTGAAGGCAGTGATCTATAAACAATAATAGTCCTAAGCTTGCAAGAGGATGATAGTTGTATCAGAAGCTCAGAGTAATCAAAAGACTCTTCTTCGCCAGATCTAACTGTAATAACTCTAAAAGAGTGACGATGAAGAAGGCCAATGCCACCGCCTCCTCGTCTTAAACGCGGATGATCAACAAATTTATAGCCAGCTGGGCACAGTTCAACACGCACTGCATCATCTTTTTTCTGCAGCCAGGTCTCAGTAACAGCAATTAGATCAAATTTATTTTCACAGACATAGTCAACGAAGTCAGCCGTCTTGTTTCGTATAGATTGCGAATTCATTAAACAAAGCGATAGACAGCTGTTTTGTGCAATCTTATTCAATGGAAGGCGTTGTATCTCAATAAGATTTGAGGTGTTACATTTCGACCGAGCTTTACGAGCATGATGTCTTTTGAATAACTAGACTTCGCACTTTGGTACTCAGGACCAGGATTTAGTTTAAACACTAAATCGCCTTTCAACAACATATGGAATGTTGCAGTGCTATTACCACAATAAACGGAAAGACGCTTGCTTCGTCTATGTCTTTCCTTAGCGAAGTAATCTAAAGCCCTTTTGCTGAAGACGAGATAAGCTGAGTTATATACATCCACATCGCTTGAGATCGATGGCAGTTCAATGACTTTAGTAAAATAATTCGGTTCAATGATTTTATTATGAACAACTTTGAACATGCAAATTAACTCGTATTTGTCCCGACTTGAAAAGCAAGCACTAAGAGAAACTCTTATATTGACCAACAACTTGCTTTGCCGAAAATATATCCACTCATTCACTTCGAAAACCCTTTTACCAAATCCTTCACCGGTCATACTCCCGTATGTAGTTTGATAACTGCCAAAATCATCGGTTATAGATAGTCCTTTAATGCCAGATTGCCTACGTTCATCCAAGCTTAAACCGTTAGCAGTCAAAATAAAACTCGACTTCTGAAACAGAGAACACCACAAATCTAACAAATCTAACGCCGAAGTTGTCTCACAATCCTTCACAGCATAATCTATAGGGATTCTACTATTCCTGGTATCGGATAATAGTGAATAACTGCCAGAAATAATGAAAATATAGCAGAGCCATAACAGCCGTGACGCCATTGTTCAACGCCAACTCTGTATAACCTTGCGAAGTTTGCCGTTTTTCAGTCATTTTGCATTACAATAATGAGAAATTGATAATCAGATGATCAAACTGATTATAAATTTCCCGTTTGTAATATAAAATGACTGAAAAACGGCAAACTTCGCAAGGCTATATTATCTGCATTTTACAACATTTCGCAACGAATTTTCGGAATATTACTAATAAATTTTTGTCCAGACTTGTCTAGATCAATTATACTTCGAAACAGTCGCCTCATATAACAATGTGTAACAAACTTTATTTCGCTCCAAACTACTTAAAATACAGCGATTTAACTAAATTAACATAAATTAACATAAACTTTAACACTCCCATAAGTCTCTGCGCGTCCATTTCTTCTTCGCTATTTTATTTCGCTCCTAAAAAACAATGGATTTCACAAGTCGTGGTGAAGAAAATCCTGCTTGTGGTTCAGCCATCCCGCCTGTAGTCGTGGTTCCTGAGGATGGACAAGGTAACGTTAGCCCTACTTCACTTGTTGAGAAAATTTTTAACGATCCAGAAGCTTTGACAATGCTTCGCAAAGCAATTTTAAACGAGGAATCTGGTGAAGCGCTCAAGGCTCGCCACCCTCAGGAAAAAAATGCTGGAGCGCTCAAGGCTCGAGAAACAGCAACAACTCTCGAAGGCCCGGCGACTAAAAGGCCAAGAAGGGCGGACAGTCCTCCCACAGTGGAGACTGATGAGAATGTAGAGTTTGAAGAGAATTTCTTGGGCGAAAATAATGAGTCCTTTGATATTATTGATGACGAGGACGGGCAAGCCCAGTCTGCATCTCGATGGCAGGCGTCCGAAGAGTTGTCATCCTTTTTGGATACTATTCGAAAACCATTATCTTCCTTTGAGAGGAAAATTATTTGTCGAAAATATCCTCGTCCAGACGTGGACTCTGTTTATACACCAAATTTGGATGACTATCTCACCAGTCTCGTCCCTGGAGTGAAAGCGGTAGACAAGCAAAGTAAATTCCTCCAAGATCGGCTGCTTGACACCCTTGGTCCAGTAAGCCAATTGTTTGAACATATCTTTGGGATGTTGTCTCAATGTCAACCTGGCAAAACAATTGATTTGACATATGAACAGCTCAATAAGTTAGGTAGCATTTCTTCTAATGCAATACGTTTATTGGGTAATACATCAGCCTTGTTATCACAAGAGCGAAGGAAAGCTGTATTACAGAAGATCAATTCACAGGGTACTGTGGCATCTTTGGCATCTGAAGAATTTCCTCAAGCTTACGTAGCCTGTTTGGGGAAGGGTTTGAGGAAAGAATCGTACCCGTTCTGAGACTGCAAAAACTTTACTGCAGGCAGCCTCTGTAGGAAATCGAAAACAACAGTTTTTTCGAGACCGCACCACCCAATTCCGCAAGTTTTGAGGGAACCATGGGTTCGGTGCACAGCGAGGTTTTTACAGTTTCAGACGCAACAACTATCAACACAACTTCAGGGGTCGGGGGAGGAGCTCGCGAGGATTCTATCGCCAACAGCCCTTCAACCCAGCAACATCCAGTTAGAGCAGCAAGGTATGTATGTGAGTCCTTTCTTCTTAGCAGGACGTGTAAAACATTATTCCCAAAACTGGGCATTGATAAGCAACGACCCATGGGTTATAGAGACAGTTCAGGGATATCATATCGATCTTTTGCAGGTCCCAGTTCAGCATGCCCTGCCCTTGCTACCTGTTCACAGCAGAGAACAGAGTGCTCTAATCGACTTAGAGGTCAATCAAATGCTCGAAAAAGCAGCTATCCACATAGTCCACCCACACGAGAAAGAGCAAGGTTTTATAAGTGCTCTTTTTCTAGTCCCAAAGAAGGGGGGTGGCCAACGTCCAGTAGTAAATTTACGTCCTCCAAACCAGTACATCCCTTACGAACATTTCATGATGGAAGGGATACACATGCTCAGGGACCTTCTAAGGAAGGACGATTACATGGTGAAAGTAGACCTAAAAGATGCATATTTTACGATACCGGTTTGGAAAAACCGTCAGAAATTCCTTCGGTTTATTTGGAAGGAAACAATGTACGAGTTTGCATGCCTACCTTTCGGACTGTCAAGTGCCCCACGGGTGTTCACAAAGTTAATGAAACCGGTGGTTGCCCAATTAAGGAAACAGGGTATTCGTCTTATTATATACCTGGACGACATACTTATTATGACCGAGACAGAAACTCTAGCCAATCAACATGCACAGACAACTTGCAATCTTCTGGAGGCTCTAGGGTTTGTGATAAACTATCAGAAATCCAACCTCACCCCATCCAAAAAGATGGAATTTCTGGGATTTTTAGTCGATTCCCAAGCACTGACCCTTGCTCTTCCTCGCGACAAAATTTGAAGAGTAAAGAAAGAGTGTCAGAATCTCCTGGATTTGCAGGTTGTCACAGTGCGAGAACTGGCCAAGGTTCTCGGTCATCTCACTTCTACTATCCAGGATGTCTTTCCAGCCCCCCTACACTTCCGCCACTTACAGGAATGCAAAAACAAAGCTCTAGGGTTAAGTCATACGTACGAACACCCCTTCAAGTTGACCATACAGGCCAAAGAGGAGCTGGTGTGGTGGAGAGACAACCTGGATGCTTGGATTGGAAAAGCCCTGGTTACAGGGAGACCAGACCTGGTTATAGAGACCGATGCCTCCCAAATGGGTTGGGGAGCATTTTGCATGGGAACGTCCACAGGGGGGCAGTGGTCCCAAGCAGAATCCTCTCTCCACATCAATTGTTTGGAACTTCTGGCCGGGGCCTCACGATTGGAAGCTAGACCCGCAGGTGTTTTCCACAATAAATCAGTTGTGAGGCCCACTAGAGGTAGACCTCTTTGCTTCCCGGTTGACAACCCAGCTCCCAAGATTTTACAGCTGGAGACCCGATCCACAGGCAGAGGCCTCAGATGCATTTACCCAGGACTGGAGCAAGGTGAGGGGATATGCCTTCCCTCCATTTGCTCTAGTGGCAGATGCCTCAAGAAACTATCAGACCAGAGTGTCCCGTTTCTAGTACTGATAGCACCTCTTTGGCAATCCCAGCCGTGGTATCCACTTCCCTACAGAGTTGTATAGCGGCACCAATTCTACTGCCCCACTATCAAGGCCTCTTAACACGCCAGATGGAGATGCATCCATTACACAATCTCCAACTAGCAGGTTGGCTGCTATCAGCCAATCATACACTCAAGCAGGCATTTCACAACCAGCTCAAGAATTGTTGCTGGTAGCATGGCGCAAAGGCACAGCAACTACCTATGCTTCCGCTTGGAGAAAGTGGGATAGCTGGTGTTGTGAGCGGGAAATTAGTTCAGTTCATGCCCCAATAGAAGCAATTATTGAGTTTTAACAACAGAATTTAACTCTGGTAAAGCATACAGAACCCTAAACGTTTATAGGTCGGCTATATCCAGCACCCATGCTCACATTGATTTTGTGCAAGTGGGCGAGCACCCTTTAGTAGCTCAACTATTAAAAGGTGCATATAACTTGCGACCACCCCTGCCAAGGTACTCCAGCATGTGGGATGTTGGGACTGTGTTGTCCTTTATAGAATCCAAAGGTACAAATAACAACTTGACACTTAAGGATTTATCACAAAAGTTAGGCATACTTCTTGCTCACACTGCAATTGAAAGGGTCTCGGAGGTCATTGCTCATGACCTGCGATATCGCCATTACTCCCAGGATGGAGTAATCTTCCATCTACCAGAACTTACTAAAAAGTCTAAAGTTGGGTCAACACTAAAATCATCGTTTCATGCTAGTTTTCCCAGCAACCCTAAACTGTGTGTTATCAAGTGTTTGCGAGAGTATGAAAAGCGAACATCGGGCTTTCGCCCTAAAGATCCTTCTATGCCTAACAAACTTCTGCTGTCGCATATAAAACCCCACAAACCGATCTTTTCGGCGACTTTGGGTAGGTGGTTGAAGGATTTAATTTCCAAGGCTGATATTGACACTGATATATTTAAAGCCCATTCTGTTAGAGGGACTGCAGCTACGTCCTCCTTTAACATAGGATTCCTCTTCAAGATATTCTAAAATTGGCTGATTGGTCTACTGATTCTACGTTTAGGCGTTTTTATTAAAACCGACTAATCAACCATTAGTGGCTCGATCCCTACTGGCTGGTAGTCACAATTCTCAATGAACACGAGTTATTGTTGCTTTAAAGTCACATTGTTATATGAGGCGACTGTTTCGAAGCATAATCACAGATTATGCAAGGGCCGCTTGCGGCCTGAAGTATAAGATGGATTATACGAGAATAAAGGAGACGAATATAGCAATGTCCCTCCCTCCTCGCCCAGAGTATAAAGAGAAACTCGTGTTCATGTTGCAGGGATTTGTTTATGTTTACATTTGTGTATGCTATTTCTTCCTTTGCAGTGACATCCTGAAGACGCTTGTTTGGTGTTTTGTTCAAGTCGCTTAATAAAATGGCGAAGAAGAAATGGACGCGCAGAGACTTATGGGAGTGTTGAAGTTTATGTTAATTTATGTTAATTTAGTTAAATCGCTGTATTTTAAGTAGTTTGGAGCGAAATAAAGTTGGTTACACATTGTTATATTCGTCTCCTTTATTCTCGTATAATCCATCTTATACTTCAGGCCGCAAGCGGCCCTTGCATAATCTGTGATTTTTGGTGGTTGTTTTTTACAGACCACCAGATTCTACGCTCGAATACATGAAGGAACTTAAAAAATCACTCAGACTTTTTAGCCAAAAGCAGTTTGACCAAATCATCCTATGTGGAGATTTTAATCTCCCTAATATAGAATTGAGCACCGGTGTCGCTAATAGTCTAGGACCTGTATATGAGTTTGTATGCATTTCATTTAGGACAGATAATCTCAACTGTTTTAGGGTAAGTTGACCATGACGGTCAACATGATAACGCTGCCCGAGCCCCAATCCGGGGCGAAACGTCCGAAACTGACCACACCCAAAAACGACGCTTTCGCCATACTGCTATCTACCAAACCATAAAAGCTTTGACTATTCTGAGGTGCTTATATGGTTCAGAGATGGTACTTTTAGGGCTGGTCATTGGTCAGTGTGAAATGCCTAGCACTAACATTTCACAAGAAAATGGCCATGCAATAATCATAGTTAAACGTCAATTTGTGGCTTGCAACTTCAGATAAACAGCAGTGGACTTACATTACCTTTTTCCCTAAATCTTCTTGATAGAAACATAATTGGTACTTATTTAAATATATTATCACTGGTTTGGTGTAAAATAGTTAATATTTTCTGACCGAAATAATAATTTTAAATGTGCCTACCTCCTGCAAATGCACCGTATTTGGCCAAGTTCTCCACTTTACTCCACTGTTTATCGGCAATCTCGTCGACATCCTACAAAAAATGTAAATCATCTCAGACATAATGGTATCAAGAACATTTTAAACAAATTTCAACCTGGTTTCAAGTAGATCATACCTGTTTAACCATCGACAAGGTAAATCCACAACTTTGTCCAAATTCGGCGCTATTTTGTCATCCCATGTCGCTTGTTAACAATTTAGCCTTGTTACTCTTCCATCCAAGCAATTTCCATTCCACAATAAGAAATTCAACCCTTTATAACAGGAGGAAACTAAAAAATCTAAACAAAATATAAGAAATACGCCATAATATTTATTATCAGAATTCGTTTCCCGCCTGGTACTTCTCTGGTAACAATTTTATCACCATGTAAAATTTTGCTTTCGAGTCTTTCAAAACATTCCGTACAAATATCGCGTGACAAAGTAACAGGGACGTGACAGGAGGGAGTGAATTATTTCACGAAGATAGAAGAAGGCTGCGTGAAATAGACTAAAAGCTAAATACAATCATACAAATGTTTGTTTTATTTCTTCTAACGACAAATATATTATATTACATATTATTATTTACTAATATGAAATAGTCATACAAATTAAATGTTGATTGTTGGTTTTACCATACTGTGAGGGCTTTCCTTTCATTTTTCAAGTCTCTACCCCCCCCCCCTGTCAGTCCCTGTTACAGGGTGATAAAATGGCGCATTTATTATATTTTGTTTAGATTTTTTAGTTTCCTCCTGTTATAAAGGGTTAAATTTCTTATTGTGGAATGGAAATGGCTTGGATGGAAGAGTAACAAGGCTGAATTGTTAACAAGCGACATGGGATGACAAAATGGCGCCGAATTTGGACAAAGTTGTGGATTTACCTTGTCGATGGTTAAACAGGTATGATCTACTTAAAACCAGCTTGAAACTTGTTTAAAATGTTCTTGATACCATTATGTCTGAGATGATTTACATTTTTTGTAGGATGTCGACGAGATCGCCGATAAACAGCGAAGTAAAGTGGAGAACTTGGCCAAATACGTGCATTTGCAGGAGGTAGGCACATTTAAAATTATTATTTCGGTCAGAAAATATTAACTATTTTACACCAAACCAGTGATAATATATTTAAATAAGTACCAATTATGTTTCCATCAAGAAGATTTAGGGAAAAAGGTAATGGAAGTCCACTGCTGTTTATCTGAAGTCGCAAGCCACAAATTGACGTTAACTATGATTATTGCATGGCCATTTTCTTGTGAAATATTAGTGCTAGGCATTTCACACTGACCAATGACCACCCCCAAAAGTACCATCTCTGAACCATATAAGCACCTCAGAATAGCCAAAGTTTTTATGGTTTGGTAGATAGCAGTATGGCGAAAGCGTCGTTTTTGGGTGTGGTCAGTTTTTTACGTTTCTCCCCAGATTGGGGTTCGAGCAGCGTTACCATGTTGACCGTCATGGTCAACTTACCCTAAAACAGTTGAGATTATCTGTCCTAAATGAAATGCATACAAACTCATATACAGGTCCTAGACTATAACACTAGTGACAATATCCACACTTATTTTACTAAGCTCGTGAGAGATAACTATCTATGGCAAATGATAGATTTTCCAACGCGGAACAACAATGTTTTGGATTTGATTCTTACAAGTATGCCGGACAAAGTAACCAATGTTATTGGGTTTGATGATATATTATCTACCGATAACTTATCGATAACTTATCAGCTTTGTTTTGAATTTTAATTTATGTAAGAAGCAACCGACTAAACGGTCAGTTTACAATTTTAAAAAAGCTAATTGGAATGGTCTCAATGAAGTTCTTAATAACACCCCATGGGATTTATGCTTTGTCTCTGGTGATGTTGACGTCCTGTCATGCTGGATTGACTTTTTCCTTTCAGCCGTTAAAGATAATGTACCATTATGCAAATCGCTGAATAACTACAATCATGCATGGATTGATTCAGAATTACTAACGCTAATTAGAAAAAAAAACAGACAAAGAAACAAATTACGCAAATCCGGAAGTTCTCATGATTTAATGAAATTTCAAAATCTTCGGCGTGAAACGAAAAGGGTCATGTTGCACAAAAGGAAAGAAATGGCACTGAAACTCGGTAAGTTTCTATCCGAAAACCTGAAGCGATTTTGGTCTCTTGTTAAAACGTCGACCATACAGACATTTACTCCAATGATATTGCGGGATGGTTTAAAGGTTGTCACGGATGCGTATGAAAGAGTAAATTTGTTAAATTCATTTTTCTCCTCTTCTTTTTCTTGTTCTTTCTCGAACGATATCCTGCCTAATTTTCAAGGTGTCACGTGTGCTATTGAACCATTGGCAACCATTAATCTTTCTGAGTCTGAAGTTCTCCACGCTCTTAAAAATCTCGACCCTAGTAAGGCTTGTGAACCTGACAACATCCCAGGAAGACTACTTAAAGAAGCAGCCGGAGTAATTGCTCCAAGCCTCTGTCGGTTATTTAACATGTCCCTCTCACTTGGACATTTCCCTACCACCTGGAAACGAGCCAATGTTACGCCTAATTTTAAGAAAGATGATCTCTCACTTTCTTCAAACTATAGACCCATTTCCTTACGTTGTATTTTATCAAAGGTATTTGAACGATGTGTTTCATACCATTGTCAACATCACTTGTCACAGTTCATCTACGATTTCCAACATGGTTTTCGCAAAGGACGTTCAGCAGAATCTCAGCTACTAGAAGTTTATCATGATATATTAGATTCTCTTGCACGTGGTAAGGAGGTTGATGTTTTATATCTGGATCTCGCGAAGGCCTTCGATAAAGTTCCTCACCACTTGCTGATTGCAAAATTGGAACGATATGGTATTTCCGGATCCCTGCTACAGTGGTTGAAGAGTTATCTGACAGACAGACACCAACGTGTTGTTCTTGATGGGATCTATTCCGATTGGCTTCCAGCATGTTCGGGGGTTCCACAAGGATCAATTCTTGGGCCGCTCTTATTCCTTGTTTTTATCAATGACT